GGGGAGGCGGGCGGAGGCGTGAGTGGGCGGGGGAGTGTGTGTCTCTGAGCATGTATGCACACGCGTCTGCTCTCGACTGCGGAGAGGGAATGTCTCTGTATGTGTATGTTCGGTGAGTGGGTGAGTGGGTGGGCGCGTGTGTCTGCACATTTGAAGTGTCCCAGGGGAGGAGATGTTCAGTGGCTGACATGGAAGCTGACTTGGGTGCTAATATGGCTCCGCTGACGTGGCATTTTCTCGCTTTTCATAACCCTGGCGGCTGGCTGTGCAGAATGTCCGATCAGGGTTCTTTTTCTTTTCATCCCATCGGAGTTCCGTACACCCCACGTGTTATACGAAACGTGTAATAATTTAAGATGATGAGAATGATGTCAACAAGTAGACGATTTTAGTCGTTACACGTTTGGGACTAATGATGAACACACGTTAAACAGGTTTGAATAACATTCAATTAGATATTATTGTCAAGGCAGGGTAATCAGCGATACCCCCCTCGCCGATACCCTTACTCCCGCCGCCACCCGGTCCCCGAATTTCATTAATTAATTAACCTATATTACTATTCATTCATCATGAATTATTGTCATGGCGGCTGATGCTTCACAAACGAGAGGGGAGGATTCAACGTCGAGAATGAACAGTAGAGAGACGACGACTGGGGTTTCGCCGAGGAGGAGCAGGAGGAAGAGGAAGAGGACGAAGAGGAGGAAGAAGCGGAAGAGGAGGAGGAGGAGGAGGAGGAGGAGGAGCAGGAGGAGGAGCAGGAGGAGGAGCAGGAGCAGGAGCAAGAGTAGGAGGAGGAGGAGAAGCAGGAGGAGGAGCAGGAGGAGGAGAAGGAGCAGGAGTAGTAGGAGGAGGAGGAGCAGGAGGAGGAGGAGGAGGAGGAGGACAGCAGAGTTTCGAAGACACAGTAACGGGTATACTCACACTACTCCCCGGCATATACTGTATATTACCGCCATCACGACTAGATTCCTCAAGAAAGTGCGAGTATGAGGTTGCCCTAAGTCGCTCCCATAAGAGGATCAGGCAAAAAAAAATATTGAATCACGGCATATACTCACCGCACTCAGGAGCTTCATAGATGCATCTGGCGGTAATTACGGCCACACTTGGATGCATTTGACAGCAATTAGTTACAGAAAATAAAAGTCCGAGAATGGCTAGCGTGACCGAGTATGCCCTCAGATTATCAATACTCGAGTGCAAACGGGCATCACATTGAGGGCCTCTCACTCAACGTGAAAAACACACAAAAACCAATGGCGAGTGTATCATCCCCTCCCCCCCCCCCCCCCCCCCCCCCCCCCCCCCCCCCCCCCCCCCCCCCCCCCCCCCCTCTCTCTCTCTCTCTCTCTCTCTCTCTCTCTCTCTCTCTCTCTCTCTCTCTCTCTCTCTCTCTCTCTCTCTCTGTGTGTGTGTGTGTGTGTGCACACACATGCATCTGTGACAACAAAGAAGCGCAGGGCGAGGAGCAGGCAGGGCAGAAGCCGTGCAAGGTGGGTAGAAAAGAGGAAGAGAAAGCAGGGGAGGAGAAGCAGACTACAAAAAGAGAGTGCTGGAAGTAGGACAAGGCATGACGAGAGACAATAGAGGAAGAGGAGGTGGGGAGGGAGAATGGCAGGGGGCAGAAGAGCGAAAAAGAGAGAATGTCTAAGAGGACGATGCACGAGAACGAAGGATGACTCACCTTCTCGCTAAGTTGAGGTTCGCATCACTTGTCATGATCGTGCAGGTGGGGTCGGCGGAAGCGCGAGATGTGGAAATACGCCACGCCTTTCTCCCAAGCCTGCCTCGCGTCCGCAGACCAATCCACCTCCCCCCTGTCGTTCGCCACGCCTTTCTCCCAAGCCTGCCTCGCCTCCGCAGACCAACCCACCTCCCCCCTGTCGTTCGCCACGTCTTTCTCCCAAGCCTGCCTCGCGTCCGCAGACCAATCCACCTACCCCCTGTCGTTTGGATCCCTACCTAGTTTCTACGGTCACCCACCCTTTCTCCAGCACCTGCCCAGGGCAGGGCAGGGCAGGGCAGGGCAGGGCAGGGAAGGGCAGGGCAGGGCATGGACGTCGCACAAAAAATTACCCGCTTAGAGTGCCCATGGTGGGCTTTGTTTTCTTCGGCCTTCTTTTCTTTTTTCCACGGCCTATGGTAGGCATACAGGGCAAATGATGGTGCAATAAGCCCACCAGCAACACAGGCGTTGCAGTCCGCTGGAACCCGCGCACCACAATGACCTTTGTCCATAAGCGGAAAAAATGTAGCGCGGACCCGCAAAAAACCAAAAGGCTGAACCAGCCTCATAAATAAATAGAACCACATTTCTTCCGAGCCTGTTTTTACCTAAGCGGCGAACGAACGCGCACCAAGCTTTGCCAAGCCTGAGCGCGAGCGGTACAGGTAGTAGTTCTTCCGCCGGTGCTACCGGTAGTGATGGCCGCCTGAAAAAGAAAAAGAACTAAACCGTGTTCACGAGAGAGCATTTGGGAGCTGCACCCGACCTGCAGGTGGGCGATACCGGCCAGGGGACAGCCGGTAGCATCTGGGACCATGCCAATAGGACCAATCCCCTGCGCCTCCCCTCCGGTCCCCGGGGCAAGGTCCCACTTACACGAATTAAGCGATATTGACCGTAGATAGCAAAGATCAACGGCCAGAATCTCTTAATCCGTGCAATTGGGACCTTGCCCCCGTACTCTAGGCCTTGCCAACTGGGGCCTCGCCCCACATGCCATCCAATAGTATAGTTTACTAGTCTGTGTGATGGTGTGGGACTGTTAGGATGTTTTGATTCTATTTTATCCGGACGGTGGGATGATGCATCCTGCCATTTAGGGCGAGGAGCCCTAAGGTTCCGTTTTCTCATTGGTTTAGAGTTGGTTTAGGGGTTCCGTGCGGAGTGGAGGGAGAGGCAATACGGTGTAGTTTACTGACCTCATTTTTATGGCTTAGAATACTATTCGTCTTTTGGCTGCTCACCTACAGCGAGTCTCACGGCGACTCCAAGGGTGTTTATGGCGCTCGCTCCGGTGGTCTGTGGACATGCACAAAGGACAAATATCATGGTGCTGTATCTTTCCATGTTCTAGCGGAAGATTCATTGTCGTTTCGCACATGGTGACTGGAACTCTGGAACTGCCTAATATGATTTTCTCATTTTTATTTTTTTAAAGGTAAGCTATATTTTTCTCTCATCTATTTCATCTTTCCTAGTAGTACGCATTTATCTCATCCTCTCACTAGAGGATGAGATATGATAATTTGTTGGAATTTCTAAGCTCCGCTATTCTGGACTTTGCATCTCTGGGGCGATGTCCCACTTTTCGAGATTTTGTTATGGTTTCGAGTGTACATGGCTCCTTGCCATCCAAACCAAAAATCTCACGGCCGTAGTGTGAGCACGTTGGAAATACACGAAACGTAAACTAAGCCTCCGCTCGTGGGTCAAGGCCCCTGGTCTCCAGTGTGCACTTAGTGTGATCTTGCAATATGTGTATGTGTGTGCTCAAGGTGACGAGCAGTGAGGCTCAATACAAAGTGCGATTTTGAGAGAGAAAAAAAAAAGTAGTCCTTTGAAAGCATGCAACTGGACTTGTTCGTTGAAATATGCATAATCATGGCAGTGTATCTTTCCATGGTCTGGCTTCAGATTCACAGATTCACTATCGTTTTGCAATGGTCAGGCAGCAGATTCCCAGATTAGATTCACTATCGTTTTGCACATTTCGAACGTCATGGAGCGAGGCCCAATAAATGCACTTTCCCACCTTCCATTGCCACACAGAGTAGTAAATTATACTATTCGATGGCATGTGGGGCGAGGCTCTTGGGCTGCAACAGCCTGGGGAATTTTTTTTCCTTATTTATTTTACTAGTGGCATCCTTGCGCAGGGGTCATGGTAATCTTCTCTCTACTGTATCATCTAGCGGCCTAGCTCAATTCGTTAGGCACACGAGTGGTGTGGCATTCAAGAGGTTTTGGGGTTCAATTCCAGTGGCCGCCTGCAGTACACTTGGTGTCAGCCAACTGAGATAGACAGTTGGATCCTCCCCATTGGCATTAGTAGAGTCTTCAATCAATGTGGGTGTGAGTGTGAGTGGGTTGCACATGGTGTATGGGAGATTGTTGGCCTTAGACACTGCTGGTCCTCTATGGGTATGGGGGGAAGATGAAAAAGGAGGTGCGGCTACTGGCAAATGCTCGGTCCTTGTGTTAGTCGAGCCTTGTCAGCAGTCCTAACCCTGCACCCTAAACCATTAGAGCAAGGGGCAAATATGCACTTACCTCCCTCCACCGAGAGAGGTAACCTCCCTTCACCAAAAGAGGTAGATCGCTATGCTTGCAGGGGTCCCCTGTATGGCCTTACGAGGAGTGTCGTATTCCCCAACGTAACGCATATGCGTTGTAAGCAACACAACACGTATGTTGCTTTCTAATCGAATACAACACAACAACCATAATCTTTTAATATAACGCATATGCATTTCATTCAAGTCATTTTTTTTTATTTTTTTTTTTTGATTATAACGCATATACATTATATTGTCGGAAATCCGACAGTAATAGGTAGGTCGTGAAAGATGAAAGGATTTGAGAGAAGAGTATAATGCAATTTTTGCTAAAAAAAATGAGGGAAAAGCATGTTCTTCGTATCAAGGAGAAACAACACCCCATTGATTGTTTGCTATCGGTGTGTCTGTTGTCGGAAATGACAGCGCTATTGTCGTTTGGCACTGGTGCAGTGTTGACGCGGAGGGCTAAACAATGTCGTCCTCGTCGATATGAAGGTTCACCAACCACCCTTAAATCCTACAAGGGGTTGCGCCTTACTGTGGAATACCAAGGAGCATGGTGATTTCCGCCTCCCTTATAGCCCACAAGCCTAAAGATACTAAGTGACCTTAACTTTCTATTGAGTACTTTTTGCGGGCTAACATTAAATACATGAAGAACTTTATCTCGTTTCATAAGCCTATGCCTATAAAAAGGGACGGTGTGGACATGAAGAAGAGAAAATAAAACTTAATGTGTGATAAAAGGCGCTTTCAAATGCGGCACATTCCGAAGCGGTGATGGGACCGTTGTTTGGGTTCAAGCGAAGCATTGGTAACTACCTCGATTGAACACATAAAGACATGAAGTTTTATGGGTAAAGCACCATCATTGAGAGTGGGAGACTCATTGGCGGCCGTGAGAACGTTTTGCCTTGGCTGGAAAGCGTGGAGGACGATCCTAGCCACATGCATACTAATACCCATTGAGTCTATTTTTTTTTATTTTCTTTTCGGTGTCTTACTCGATTGTATGATTATATTTTATAATACTTCTCATACCTTTAAACAACCATTTTTTTTGCCAAAATTCGGTCAGAATTTTTTGCTCGTGGGGGTCCGACGTTCCGAAAACGTCGAACCCCCTACATGTATCTGGTTTATGGTTGAGACTAGATACTTTTTTTTTTTTTTTTTTTGTATCTGGTCTCAACCATAGACCAGATACATGTAAGGGGTCCGGTGGACCCCCATGAGCAAAAAATTCTGACCAGATTTTGGCAAAAAAAATCAGTTTTGATTTCATTCAAAAAATATAATATGTCCGTTTTGACGAAATGACTGTTTTTATTGATATGTCCTTCATTTCTTAGTCGCTACTGTAAGAACTATCTTTTATCATTTTTTTAACTCAAACTCTTTATATTTTATCACTCTCTTAACTTTATTTATAATTCTTTGTGTATTTTAAAGTGGTTTGATTCACTTCTTCAGAATGTACCATACACCTAGTCATTATAATATGGTAGGCTTATTAATTCTTATGATTTCTCCTCGTGATTTCATAAGTGCAATTTGTCGTTCATTACTACCCCCTCAACTGTGGTTGGATCACTTTGCCCTGGTTGTATTTCGTGTTAAATCATGTTGAAGTTAAAATTCACATGCACCTAGTCACTATTATATAGTAGATTCATTAATTGTTGTTAATGTTATTTATGAGATTTCATAAGGTTGTAAAATTGTCGTTCATTGTTTCTTTCGTCATAATTGTAGTTGAATCGCTTGTATAATTGTATACCATATTCAACATCGTTGGAGTTACAATCCACATGCACCCAATTATGATTATAGGGTAGATTTTTTCATTTGTAAGAATCTTCATAACGTGATTTCATCAGTGAGATACGTCCTTCATTGCCCCCTTCTCCAATGTGGTTGCAGCTGTCGGATCTCCTATTCAATATTGTTGAAGACTTGAAGTGATAATTCATTTTATAATTGAAGCACTTTAGAACCACAATCGCCCTCTATTTCATATTTTTCTCCTATAATTTCACTTAAGAATTCAATCCTTTTGTTGTACGGTTCAACCGCATGGTTCCCTTTACCTCATGAAATTTAATTGTATATTTTTTTTAATCTTAGGCTGTATGCATAACTTTGTTGAAGTCTTTGTGGTTAACAAGCGCCTTTCGAGTCTGCCTACTAGGAATTTTTTTTTTTTTTTCTTTTGTATATGGTCGAATATTAAGTTGGATCCATTGAAGTCTTAATAAACAACCACATTTTGTCCCCCCTATGACTGACTTTTGTGACTGCTATTTCTAGCCTAAGACCTAGCTGATGACTCGACTCTTTGTCTGTTGATTCTCTACGGATTTAGAGACTTAGACTCTCTCATAATATTTTTACTACTTGTTTTTCGTTTTAGTACTCGTTTATATACTTTACAAGTTGGGGGTTGTCTGTGGCAGGCAATGAAAC